TCTTCGAAGCTTTTCATACACTTGCTCCCATCCCACAACTCTAATTTCTTCTCATGACTTGTTACTTGCCTTATTGCCCTTTCGTTCTCCGTTGTACGGGCCGACTTTCCTTGTTTCATTCTAGTTGTCCAGGCTAATAAATGGAGTAATGTCTGAGGCTGGTGCATACCTTGAACAGCCCATGATTAATCGAAAAAAACTTTAAATTTAATGCACGGCCTGGACATCGGCAAGTGAAATTCATTGAAAAGCAATTCAAGTCCTTGGGGAAAGGACTCACTGAAGAAAGTTGAAGGACCAACCAATGCAAACAATTATCCTGGGGAAGAGGGACTTAAGAAAGCTGAAGGAGCAACGGTGTTCAGAAAGGATAGAAGATGCCTCGTGGATACCCTTAAAGGCAGACTCTGTGGATGTCATAGAAAACGTGAAAAGCTAGCTTCCTGACGTATGCAAGGCCTTGRAAACTCGACCCTAAAAGATCCAACGAGCACCACTATTTGTTTTTAAAGAGATTTAAACTAAGTACCCATTTTACCTGCTCCGCCATTAAAGATAGGCACAGATGTCCATTCTCTGTTTTCTCCGCCTAAGTAAGGTCAAACACTGACCTTTGCTATATTTTTGCCAGTATACTCACAGTATTTTGTGGTTAAAGTAATCTAACGCTCCAATCTGATAATAATGGCAAATCTCCATTATAAAAAAATCACTCGAGATTCTTGCAGTGATTGATGGAGAGTCTGTGTGATAAAAATTTTGCAAATCTTGGATTACAATATGGTGTATATTATAGTGCAAAACAAACTCTTATTATGGAAAGCTATAAATCGGACAATGTATATTTATAAGTAATGATATATCAGGAATATATATTCCGCGTATATTTTGGGAATTGTACGTATTACATAACATGAAATAGTTTATATTAAATACATGAAGAGACTCGGTTTTTAGGGAATTTYAGTGACTTKTTCTGTTACATCAGACATAGTAATCGCATTAGGAACCTTAGGAAAACAGCTCAATTTTCATTTCATCGCAAAAATATTYATTTGATAGTGGATTAGGTATCACAAACTCTCCATGAGGAATTCCCGTAGAACCTACAGCAGACAAAACACCAMCCAATGAACACTACATCAAGACAGATATTATTTCTGTAGAATCGTTTGCCTTATTCAGTTCTTTGCGCATCTGCAGCGGTTGCACTGTCTTCCTTCGCAAGCACGAAAGCAAAACAGAATTGAAATATAGCTATTTCAGACAGATATTCTACAGTATTACTATATGACGTACCTTCACGAAGTAGTTGATTTATAAGCAATTACAAGGCATCTCTATAAAATGYTGTCCGCATAATACTTCATGCAGTACTACTGAGTGGTGTAAACCAAGCGTTATACACAGGGAACATAGGRCTCTCTGTCTAARCTTGACCTCTGTGACAGTTAGGCCGTCGAGAATTCCATTTCGCCCTTTCACAAATATCATCAATTCTTATCAGCAGGGAGTTGTAAACGTTCAATTATCTYGACTCTCTAAAATAACCTTATTTTAACTTGATAAAAGTAAATTAAACATTTCTAAGCATCGTGTGTAGCCACTGTCACGTGTTTAAGTTACGGCCTTTGTTGCCTGAGCCTYGGATCCTATTAAACTGCTGAAAAAATATCTGGAGAATTTCTGGGGTAAGATAAGTRGTTTGCAGCTCTGCGGTCAGGCTTCACTGACGAGTTGAAAGGAAAGCTGTCATTTATCCTCGTATCGATAATACAGCRTGATGGCCATCGTWCAGGGTTCATTGATGGCAGTGATTAKAAAGCGATGCAGTTGGAAAGATTAGTAAAACGTAGCCACGCATCTGAGATGAATGGCARGYTTTGATCGTGGGTGCTGATCAGTGGAAATYATCCCTCTATCAGTATCTATAAGTTGTTAGTGAGAACAGCGAAGATACATATTTAAACCTTGAATGAGTAATATTATGAAGAATTATTATTAATCATTATAATTTGTTATTGCAAAAGACGGGAAGAGTTGCACCTAAAAAAATCGGTAAATAAATCGTTGCTGCTAAGCTGAAATCGTCAAGTTATGAGTTACCGAAAACAGACAAATAATAACTAAAATCTTGAGCTAAACACACCAAAGGAAACATCACCATACTCATCATCATCCTCAACATCATCACCATCATCATCATCATCATTAATATTATAAAAGGCTGGAGTGCTTGCCTACAAAATGTTAGCCTGAGTATCAGGCTAACAAAATGAATATAGGAAATATGCATTCGATATCTTTGAGAGGAAAACCGCTGCTTGTCCCACTTCCTTTGGTTAGTCGTAYAGCAAAGTCGGCAAGCTCACTTGCGATTTTTATGTACTTTGTTCAAACTATCTGCGATTATATTTTTCCATTTTTGAAGTTTTTCATTCTAGATAATGCTCGTTATATTAAATTTTCCCCTTCTTCAAATAGATTGTTTTTTTAAGGAATTCTATGTGTGGCCTAATATGGTAGCCCATTTTGTTTCTGAAATTCCAAGCAGACTTTTTTATCTGCTGACGCGCTGTCAAAGCGTGGCATACATTATGTAACAACTTTACACAAATCAGTGCAAGGAGAAGCAACGTCGGTCACATGTGCGCCAAATTTGATAGGTCATAGATCACGCAACTTTCTTTTTAAAATACCAGAACTCGACATAAACGAAAACATATTTCAAGACGTCCCTTGATGTCCGCCACGTGCTGATCAAATATTCTTTCAGCAAATCGAACAAGTGATCATCTACTCATTTTTATAGGAATCAAACATGTGTTTGTAGTTTCGACAATGGTACTTTCTTTCTTCACGGATTATAAAGTCATTTGTTGGTTGGAAGTATTTGAAGGTCGCAGCGTCTGTTCTTRCGTTAGGAATGGTTTCAATTTGAAGCGGATGTTGGAACGTGCTGTTAAGTGAACAGTTCCATCCTTGTGAATGTGAAGACGAATACGATGACTTCATCATATAGAATGAAAGACATTAAAGTTCCATCCAAAGACATTTAACTTCGGGTGATAAACTTTAAAATGACTTAATAGTGTTGAATTTAGACTGCTTCAGGCCTTTTCACCAAGTCTTCCGTAGACCAAAGTAAAGCGTCGTTAAAATTGTTAAAGCCGGCATAAAAATGGTTTTCGCWACGTTCTTTTAAAATTTTATATACACACATTGCTTTAGACACCATTTCCATACTGCCTCTGTCCTTCTATCGGCAGTAGTATCTCATCTTTCTCTTGCTTTTTGTATCACAATGGCTGCCATAACATTCTTCCCTTTCGTTTTTTAAGAGATGCCATCTTTTCTTATTTTTTTCTCTCTTTTTAACGTGTTGTACTTCYATCCTTTATTTATAACTCCCTCAAGTTCTTTTCTTTCCTTCCCGTTTTTCCTTTTCCAACTTCWTTTGATTAATAAGCCTCCCTTTGTTGTTTCCTTGTCTCATTTTCCTTTTTATTCCCATTTCTATCATGGTTTTGTGCTATAAAAGGCTGAGATGCAATCACATAGTTTATCCTGTTTCTAACTCGTCAGTGGAATGCTGGTAAAAGTAATACGCAACTAAATGTGTCCTTATTGTCAACAGTAGCAAAGGTTGCTGGACTCCTCCGTGATACAATTTRCCACGATATCCTCATTGAATGGAACACCTAACTTTAAAATAGATTTTGAAATAAATGACATTTCTGTCTGTTTAATGATGACAATTGCAATGATCAAGAGGTCCTCATAAGGGGGATTGCACGCCATTTTATTTACATACAACAATGAATTCAGTCAAAAACACTTCGCGGTCTCAATAATCCCCATGATGCACYGTGACAATGTGACGTCATGAGATAGCGCCTAAAGCACGACGGGAAGACAAGTAGTTAAAGTGATTAATTGTGATAAGTAAAGTTCAAGCAATTAGTAAAAACAAACAATTTTAATCGAAGATAACCTGATAATTAATGATTTTAATGGAGTTCAGATCAATAAATGGATCCGCCTTTCTTCTTTCGGCATTAAACCTTTAAAACCAAGCCGACTAAGATAATCTTTGACCAGAATTATACTGGTAAAGCAGTATGTCATCGTTGCGCACCGGTTGCGCACCGGTTAATGTGAATATTGCACGTCTAAAGGCCCGTTTAGCGATTTTTGCAGCGCGATAATCGCCACTTTGCTATAAGGCGCGCAACTAAAATCGTACGTGTAAAAAAACAGACCTGCGATTGTTGCTGCGATGGAAAATCGCCGCGAAGTTGCAATYTTCAAGCATGTTCGAAACTCAGGCGATGGTCGCACGGCGATCGCCGCGAGAATCGCTCCGTAAAAATCGCAAGTGTAAACGGGCCTTATAAAGGGACATTAATTGTAGCTACTGACAACTACAGGGTGTAGCGATGTGCTGCTATTGACAACTATTGCGCGTTACTAYTGACTTCTGGATGTAGCTATGTTTCATACTATCAAAACTATTGGTTTAATTTTGCTATTGGTAGGCGTTGATATGTGTTGCTGATGGCAACTATTGCTGTTGGCATTATTGAGTGTGGCTATGTGCCTCCATCGACAAATATTGAGTAGAGTTTGTTGCACTCATTAACACCTATCCTTAATTAAACCTAATACCAAATCCACGTCTACCGTCTATTTCCACATATACACATCTGACTATTGCATAGAATAGTATCAGTGAACTAGACTGTTATCTTTTCCTTATAAGGCAGTTGCACAGGCACGTGACTATCTAAATATGTTGCGTAGCAACAGCTGAATAACAACAGCAATCCATGTTTTTCATGATTATCGCTTGCCATTATAAGCATTAATCAATATTATTGCTAATACCGCGCGAATAATTCAAACGCAGAAGTGAAGCTGGATGTAGGCAAAAAAAAAAGGTTTTACGGTAGTCAAGGTATTGCGGTCAACTAACATCGTTGTGGTTTGTCATTTTACCATTTCAGAGAGGTGATTAAACTTGGCATTGTTCYTTGAAGTCCACTGATTAYAGAAATTGTCAACGATACTACACGRCATGCCAGAAAGCGATGATACAAAACTACAGCACATCCGGTCACGACGTCACACCCGGAAGTGGTCACGTGGTCGTCACGTCCTCCAATGACTAATAGGTAAGTCATGTGACYAATAATTAGTGSTTATATAGTTGGAGCAACACGTGGCRTATAGAAGTTTCATTGCGCGGAATTTAGACATAGATATAGTTTCCAATAAATAGTTTTTTAGACATACTTTTCCGCATCGGGAAGATTTTCCTACGTCGTGTGGAATAGAACGCATGGTTTATATCTCGTGACAAACACTAATGACCACTCAAGACACGATCAGAAATAGGTGAACAATCTAATGACACAAAAGTCGATTTTTTTAGTAGGTTTATTTAAATTAGTCATAATACAAAAAAAAATATCTGCCGAAATCCTACCACTGATTTCCTGAACTTTTTACANGTTAGCCGTTTGCCGTCAACGTGATGCTAAAACTCTCTATTAAGGGAGTCTGAACCTCCGCCAGGAGATTTTGAAGTAATAGCTCTTGGAAATGCGATTTCTAGAGTTTTGAGAGACATCGAGGGCATATAAAAGGAATCAATTTTATGTGAATTTTTCAGTAATTTTTTTAAAAATTTCTTGCCACTAGTACGCACGTGCGTATATGCGTAAAGGACGCCTGCATGCTGTTGCCAAGTCTGCGTTTTTTGTTGTTATTGTTGTGTGACAAGTTGAAAGTGCCGAGGCGAGGTGAAGAAACCTTATCTAAAGTAAATTTATGATTTTTCCCACAGGTTTTTGAAAACATTGGTTTGTAAAAACGATCAAAACCTCGAAGCCTGCATTTGGTTTCCCTCTACGCAGGAGAAATGGATATGTCGCAACGCGGTGTCACGCACTGGACATCACGCAACGCGGTCTCACACGCTGGACATCACGCAACGCGGTGTCACGCACTGGACATCACGCAACGCGGTGTCACATACCTTCATAGTGGTTGTCTGAAGTGAAGCAGGTATTGCAACTCTCTTTACAGAATTTATTCATGAAATTCTTTTTAGCTTTACAATGTCCTTGCTTTTGCCATTGCTTGCAAGTCTTGAATTTATCTTTGCAAAGACTTTTAATCGCTTCTTCGTGTTGTTTTTGTTCTCCTAATTATAAAATAAAGTGGTCACCAAGGAGTGTTTACGCAGTCATAACACAGTTTGCACGTTACGTAGTGTCAACGTAGTTATTACGTAGTGCTTGCGCAGTCATTACGGCATTGTTTATGCAGTCACTACGTAGTTTTACATAGTCATTACCTAGTGTTTACACAGTTATTATGTGGTCATGTCGTAGTTTTAACGTAGTCATTACGTTGACGTTCTATTTACGTAGTATTTACGTAGACATAGTGTTCTCACCACAAACTCCACAAGACCTAGCACACATTATCTTCATTGATTCAGCMACTTCCTTATCGCGTGAATGGCAAAGACCATGTTTTCTCCATTGGCGGCATTTATCGTACTCCTTATCTCTACAGGCATTCTTATCTAGGARGAAATATCGTATACATTTTATATTACAGGAATAAGAGTTCTATGCTATAATTCCAGGGATTTTGAGTGGAGAGGAGGGGATTTGGGGGTCTGCATTCGAAGCTAGGAATAAGACAATGCAAACAACAAATTCTTTGCTCAGATTTGAATCATAATCCTTACCAGGAATACAGTGYCCACAGCTCTTTTGACAAAATGATTTTAGGACAGTTTTGTAGCTTTTCCGTCTGCAAAAGTGGTGCTTGGCCCAGTACTTGCAACGAGAGTCACGGTCAACGCAGTTTGAGGGGTCTGGTGACAATAACAAACTTAACAAACTCAATTTCTTGTGTTATGTTAGAATGATTCCCTGGTACTTTTTATAATGTTTGGTCGTCATTGACTCTTTTCTGTTCACTAAATACTGTTTTATCGTGTTTCCTTTGCCTTGCCGCTATTCTGTAACCCTTCTGGGGACCATAATCCTTAGCGTTACAACGATAGAATGTTTTTGTGAAACGTCACAGCGAAAAAGGGGCAACAAAACAAGACTTATAGAGACAAATACTATACGTAATCTACGCTTATGCAAATTCGAAGCGTTTTACGTACGCAAGGAAAAGACATTTAATACGTAAACGTATGAACGTGGTATGACTTCTTACCTGGATAACATTTTTCGCAACTTTTTCTGCATTGYCTCAACATTAAATCAGGTCTCGCTTCACAGAAACCCCGACTCGACCAGTAYGCGCATTCTCTTTTCTTGTCGACACACAATCTCAGCCGTTTKCGGTACACTTCTCGGACTTCTTTTCTTGCTTTTCTTTTACTGTCGCGTCTTCTTGTTCGCCGTTCACGTTCCACGATACCAATTCGAACAGATGTGGCATAAGAGACAACAGTTGCGTGCGGTTGAAGACTGGGTCTGTAGTGCTCATCTAAAAATAGTAGGARTCATTGAACAACCCCGACCCTTTAGAGTGGTTTTCATAAACCCGTGAAACAAAGTGTAATAATTGAGTGTAATAGATCGTAATAGTCGCGTAGAGACAATAAAAAACAAAAGAGCCAAAGTGTAATAGCGATAAATACGCTAAAGTGTGTTTCACGGGTTAATGAAAACCACTCTAACGTACCCCAGTATTGACTATTCTCAAAATTCCAGTGCAAGCGTGAATAGCCTCGAAACTATGTGTAAATTAATTTTTTCTATTGTTTTCTATCCTAGGAATGTGGCTATTCCCGTTTGTACAGGAATTTAAAGAATAGTAATGAATTGATTCTATAATTTTGGACATAAATGTTGACAATTTTTCTGACGCGCGCACGACATTTCTCACGTCTCTTTCCCCAATAMAGTCTGTGTGACTTTCTTTTCATTTGCTGTCCATTTTAACGCGTGCTTGCAACATTGATGCGGGAGGGAGGGGAGGGAAGGGGAAGATTTTAGTGATGCATGCAACGCAGCATTTGTAATGCCCAAGAGAAAAATTGTCAAGTATTTATATCTAAGATTGTACCTTATGATATGACCCGTATGTTGGCCCTACGCGCGGCCTTAAAAAACCTTTGGGAAATGGTCACGTGATGGGGACCGTACGTCTTTTCCCGACAGGGCCGTACAAACCTGTATCTTCCGGCTTGAAGTTAGTCGATACATTCATCAAAGAATGGCTTAAAAAACGCTGTCTTATGATCAAATGCTTATTGAYTGAGTTAGGTCGGGCTGTACGGGGAAATATTTGGCTCTCGGTCATTTCTGCGGACCTCGCTGCGCTCGTTCCGTACGRCATAACCTCGAGCCAAATATTTTCCCGGTCGGCCCTCCCACGCAGTCAATAAATACATATTATTTACCTGTACTACATGTGTTGCAGCTTTTTGCGCAGTCWGTTAACATGAAATCTTTTCTTGTGATGCAAAAGCCTTTTTCAGCCCAGTATTGACAGGCCTCGTCACCATCATTGTTCTTGCATTCTAGTGATCTCTGCTTTCTCTGGGATTTGTACAGCTCAACGTCTTCTACATCCTCGACGCCTCTTCTTAGTCTACGATAAGCATGGATGGACGAAGACTCGGTGGTGCTCTCGACGTCATTGGCRTATGTACCTGGAGATATAGCGTGAGTTTTTTTTTGTGAATTATATTGCATTATATAGATGTTATAATCGTCACACCCTCATCGCTTTTTAAGGGACTTTTAGCGATTACATGGGGAGCAAACCGCAGGCAGCCCAACTATACAGCATGGATATTCCCAGTGCGCAACTTTAAGTTCAGTTTTAGTGTTGAAAAATCGACAATTGCAGCAAAAATCGCCAGTGTAAACGGGGCTTAAAGCAAAACTCGTTGCGTTCACTTATGTATCGTTATACCCTTACCTTTGCAACCATATAGCATGTTAACTCTCAGAATATCAAACTTTGACAGCTTTTTATAAGGTCGAGCGATGACAGGTTTCAGAGCGATGATGGTTCGTTTTCTTGAACTCTTTGAGAATGCGTTGAACGGATAGTGCATAATACTAGAATAATCGTAAGGAAGAAGCATCGAACTTCTAACTTTGTAGCTWAGCTTTACAAACGCACTTTCCCATCCTATGATGCAATGGYAAARGTTTTAGTAAGGTTCCTGTGTCTGAATTYTTGTAGAAGTTTGATTGAGTTTTTGTTATTATTCATTTGTTCATATACTCTTTTGTTCGTGTGTTCTTATTTCCTTTTGTTCTTCCATTCATTTGTACACTTGTCCATTTTTTTCATATATTCTTTTTGCTCGCCTGTTCTCATTTCCATTTGTTCTKCTATTCATTTTTKCAATTGTGTATTTRTCCATTTATTTCGTTTWACCTTGTCTAATGTTCCTCCAAAGAACTCGTACATGTTCATCTCGGTCGGGTCGACTCTGTTCRTGCCAGAATCCAATAGTATGTCCAATCTCGTGTAGCAAAACGTTATGATACTCGCAGCCATGACCTACTGACAATACTTTCTCCCCTTTGACTCTGCCGACAGTACTATAGCAGCTAGAATACAATCATAGAACTGTATAAGTAACTCATTTGAAAGTAATTTCATTTGAAAGGTTTTACGACTTTATAAAGCTATTTAGAATCAAAAATAAATGCACTAAAATTATAGGAAAATCTCTACCAATCACACTATACAAAGATTGCTATGGCAACTGTGAGCCTTATACAGGACTAAAACAAAGCATTTGATTTAACGTYTGAACGTTTTTAGCTTTTTTTGGTTGATGTTAAGTGTGTTGCTGTGGATTTTTCAGTGGATTTTCAGTTTTTCAAACAATGTTTCACCATCAACTGTGTCATCTCCAATAACACTATGAAGTCGTGTTTATAATGTGTTATGWTTATAAGTAATATAATCGTGCAAGTGAAAGAATTGAGGTTGTACGAACGAACGGTATTTTGGGTATTCAAAATGGACRATCTTCAATCAATTTTCTAAAGAACCTGGGCAAAACATCCAACAAATTAGAGGTCACGATATACTCAARCATATTCTATCAACTACTTTAGATAGGTGCATGAAATCTTCATCGAAACTCGTACCCATAAATCCTTGAAGTCGCTCTCATTCAATTCGACAACCTTCTTAAAAAAGGTGTGTACTTAAGGTATAGGGTTAAAAAGCATCAAAAGCTCGCTTTGACACTTTGGCAACCTTCTTAAATAAGGTGTATACTTTAGGTATAGGGTTAAAAAGYATCAAAAGCTCGCTTTGACACTTTGGCAACCTTCTTAAATAAGGTGTATACTTTAGGTATAGGGTTAAAAAGCATCAAAAGCTCGCTTTGACACTTTGGCAACCTTCTTAAAYAAGGTGTATACTTTAGGTATAGGGTTAAAAAGYATCAAAAGCTCGCTTTGACACTTTGGCAACCTTCTTAAATAAGGTGTATACTTTAGGTATGGGTTAAAAAGTATCAAAAGCTCGCCTTACTGTGTACCACGCATTAACGTGACATAGTCCTGTTCATCTTGTCGCTCTACAAATGTCACGCAAGTTTTCGACTCCCACTCTTTCATCGCCCGCTTAATTTTGGCGACCAAACCAGGCATGCTTTCTGCATAAAGACAAATTGATAAACAGTTGGTTACCGAGTATTCCTTGTGAAATGTGTCTATTCTAAAGCTGCATTATTCCTAACATCTTAAAAATAGCAATAGGTTAAGATTTCAGTAGGTTAAAGAAGCGAATGATAGCAATAATCGACATCATCGCTGCAAGAGAATATAGTTCTTATTCTTGGCGTGCAGGTTACGTGATCGCCGCCATGTTGGATGAAGGATCGCAAAGCATTCCTCATTAGTTTCTCTTGTTAATTCAYCCAACATGGAGACGATAGCTTTGTTCTTTATTTCTCAGGGGATTCTTGGTCACGTGGTTGCACACCAAGAATAGGCATAACTTGTTGCATCATCGTAATGACGTCATAGATTTTTCGGCGAAATGCATCATGGTATTTATAAAACAATCGTCGACGTCATTACTGAGAAAGAACCATTTACTCTGTTACTATGTTGATATGTTCAATAGACTCACTGAGACTGCAGTCAATAACATAAGGTATAATTCCTCGAAACCATATTCTCTTTTCTTCTACTCCTTGCGAAAACGCCCTCGTAATATCGATCTTTTTGTTGGGGTTGTCAACCATGTCGTCTTGATATTCGGCGAGTTTCATGTCACCTTGGTACAACCAGTAYTGGTGGGCTGGTGGCGGGCTTGAGTTATGATCTGCAAAGAAAAAAMCATTCCCATCAATACTAGCAGCTCTTGCTATTATGGACACCCTCGGGACCGTAATTTAGTGTCCGCTGTAGCGAGAGTCCGTAGTAACGAGAGTTACTTTCAGTCATTTCTTTATATTTTTCGCCGGGGATTCAGTATTAACTGTCCGCAATATCAAGGTGTCCGTTGTAGCGGGGTGTCCATTAGGCAAGAGTTGACTGTATTTATGGTGGTAGAAAATTCAGAAGGAAGATCACCATATTTGGTCAAACATGGATGATATCTGTCTCTAAGTGCTCAAACTTTTAGAAAGTCAGCGTGCACGTSTTAATTCAAAGACACAAACAAAATATACACATAGATAAGTTATTGCAAAAAAGGAATATTGTGAGACTGAACGACAGGGCAAAGTTTAAAACGAGCATCTTTTCTTCTATAGCGAGATATCTGCCGAAAAGAAATTTCCAAGACGCAGTCGAATGATTTCWTTTCACAAACCATATTTATATATTATATCAACCCTCATGGTTTGCCTCCATTCTCTAGAGATGTCATAACATTAGAATGCACATGTATTTAGTTTAGCGTTCATTTCTCGATGACCAAATCTTCAGATCGCAAACTTATAGTGCTACTTGCATGAAAATGCCCTTATTTCAGAATTTCGAGCAATAAACAAATATATGACTCATTTATATCTAAAAATATTTGTTTGGATTTATCCGACATCAGGTATATTTTGATTCAAAAGATGGAAGAACAAAAGGATGGAGTAAATGACGGCATTTACTCCAAAATATTTTGCCCAAATTATTAAGGATTTGTATCAATATCTTCTTGAAATCTGTTGCTTCATGATTATTAGACTCATATGGATAGGTCTATTTGATTTCCAAGTCTTTTCGAATGTCTCGCAATTTTCGTCTAAGTAGACCTTTAAAAAGCGCTTTTCTAATTCCACCAATGGCCGCCCTCTACCCCACTTCCACTATTCTTCTATTTCGTTATTAACTTACCAATATCCCCTGTAAATATATAGTTATGGTGATGCCGTCTGGCGTCGATAGTAATGACCAAACAAACTGTCCATAGTAACCATAGTAACGTCGTTACGGCAAGCTGCTGAACCATGACGTCAGTACTCTGGCCGTATCTGAAAATACACCGAGAATATNTCAACCCTCATGGTTTGCCTCCATTCTCTAGAGATGTCATAACATTAGAATGCACATGTATTTAGTTTAGCGTTCATTTCTCGATGACCAAATCTTCAGATCGCAAACTTATAGTGCTACTTGCATGAAAATGCCCTTATTTCAGAATTTCGAGCAATAAACAAATATATATCTCATATACATCTAAAAATATTTGTTTGGAATTATCCGACATCAGGTATATTTTAAATCAAAAGATGGAAGAACAAAAGGATGGAGTAAATGACGGCATTTACTCCAAAATTTTTTGACCAAATTATTAAGGATGTGTATCAATATCTTCTTAAAATCTGTTGCTTCATGATTATTAGACCCATATGGATAGGTCTATTTGATTTCCAAGTCTTTTTTAATGTTTCGCAATTTTCGTCCAAGTAGCCCTTCCACAAATGGCCGCCCTCTACCCCACTTACGCCCTTTCCCACCTTCCACTATTCTTCTATTTCGTTATTAACTTACCAATATCCCCTGTAAATATATAGTTATGGTGATGCCGTCTGGCGTCGATAGTAATGACCAAACAAACTGTCCATAGTAACCATAGTAACGTCTTTACGGCAAGCTGCTGAACCATGACGTCAGTACTCTGGC